TGCATTAAAAAAATCTAAAACTAGCTTTGTTGCAGAGAACAGTGGAACAGAGATTGCTTTGAGCTTCATGTGGCTGTAAAAGCGGGCAGGAGTGTCGTCAGATGAGAGATGTAGAAGATTGCACCCGTGCGAGAGAGAGTATAACAAAGTGGACAAATTATCTTTGCTCTTTTTGTTAGCAGCTGCCGGACGTCACATTTCCATAAGTAGTACTAACTAGAAAATAGAGACCAATTGGGCGGACTTAGAAGAGATGGCGTCTACGGGTTGTACAGGCGCTGTGTATTTAGTGGAGTTCAGAATCGCGGGATTTGTTGCATCGTAATAATGTCAGTAAAATGAGATCGCCACACCGATTGTGCAGGCGGTCTTGTTGTTCTTCGTTTTGAATGCAATTTCAAATTCATTTGTTTAGGTGGAGTCACAGTACGGTCCAGTGGGTTTAAACAACCCAAACGCGCTTCTTTTTAACAAAACATACCCGTCGACTCGAAGACGATTCCAAACCGTCCGCATTGGACCGTCGCCGCTTCCTACTTTCCCGATTCCGCCACTACCGTCTTACCCAACCTTAAGCACTAATGTTCTTACTGTACGTTCCTTTTCACTCTTTTTTTTTTAAATCCAGTTTACATATATTAAAATATATTCTAATCCTTCAGAGGTCGTTTTTGTTTAGCATCTCTGATCTCTCGCGTCTCTATGCTACAATGCAATGCTATCTCCTAGCAGCGTGCGTCAACGGACCAGAAGATTTTAAAAATTTTTTTCGCACCAAGATTATCGGGAGCAGTGCGTATCGAGCACTTGCTGGGAGGTAGAACGCATCTAAACCTGTTGCAGTATTGGCTTGTCAAAAACGGGCATCATATGTTTGGATCCGGGCAGATGGTTCATTGTTTCAACAGAGTACATGCCGCTTTTTCTAGTACAGTGCATACTGTGAGAAGAAACTTAAATCGAGATCACCCCAAAGTTGTTTCTGTTTGCAGGAACTGGGCCCACACTGGCAAACGCATTCGGGATCACGTCCTCCAAAAACAGCTGTATTATCTGGACTTAGTGCAAATGAATCAGTGTTGCCCAGCAGCACAGCGCAGGTGTTACTTAAAGCAACCACGGCTCCGTGGAGCACTAGACAAAAGCCGTCACGAAAACCGAATATGACGATAAAAACAACCACTTTTCCTAAAACTGCTGATGCGAAAAACAGCTCATCTGTAACTGACTCCGGAACAGAGCGAAGAGAGCCAAAAAGTCAACCGTCTTGGGCAGCTACTACAAAAATTCCAGTAACGTCCAGCGGTACCTCAGATGCATTTGTAACGGTCTATAACAAGTCAGTAGAAGTTCGTATCGCAAAGCCGAGAGCGCCTGCAGTGACTCCGAAAGGAAGTAAATTTGACTTTGTTGGTGGAAATGGTAGCATCGAAAATAGAAGTGTTATCGAGAATACGGAAGTACCTGCTCGAGTTGACTCAAGAGAATTATCAACGGTACGATTTAGTTCAGCAGACAGCGTGAACCTGGCCAGAGAAGGCGCAGCAGAAATGATTCTTACGATGGCTGGGAGCGAAGTGATGACAGATCCGAATATGACGACTGGTTCGGCTACTGCTAGTACAATTCAAAGTAAAGAAAATGCGGCTGCATCTGAAGAAGCTGCGGTTGACAACAAGATAGCAAATGCAGAATGGAATTTGGGTGATTTGACTGATAGATTCGTAGTGAAGCCCGGCGCCACCAGAGCATCGCAACCAACCGTTGTAATTCCGCCTCTCGAGGTACACTGTTCCTCCAGAATTAAAGTAGGAACGTTTGTCACAATGCTAGCAGTATCGAACTGATGTCCT